TTATTAGATTTTAATCAGGGATTCTATTCTGAAATGTTTTGAACCCAGAATGTAATTTAAGAAGTCAGATTTGGGGCGCCTGGGTGGCTCAGTCGGTTAAGCGTCCGACTTCAGCCAGGTCACGATCTCGCGGTCCATGAGTTCAAGCCCCGCGTCGGGCTCTGGGCTGATGGCTCAGAGCCTGGATCCTGTTTCTGATTCTGTGTCTCCCTCTCTCTCTGCCCCTCCCCGTTCATGCTCTGTCTCTCTCTGTCCCAAAAATAAATAAACGTTGAAAAAAAAAATTAAAAAAAAAAAAAAGAAGTCAGATTTTCTAGCAGAAGAGAGAGGACAGAGGAGGCACAGGATTGAATAGGAAAAAAAAAAAAAGAAAGAAAGAAATTATAAGGCAATTAAATAAAAGGAGAAATGAGAAAGAACTTGAATGAAGCAACTTCTAAGGATCAGAAAAGTCCTGGAATCCAGTTACAGAGGAAGGGATGGACAGTTGGCCACCTAACAGGGCATTAGCTTCCCTCACGGTGATGCTTCTACTGCTGTCCCTAGCAAAGGTTGTCAACACTTACAGGGTGCAATGCTATTCCACTAGCTTCTGGCTTAAATTCACGAACTTGGTTTCAGTCAACTATAAAGATAGCAGAAGACTGATTACCCTTGAAAACTTGAGAACAGTCACTGAGTTATCAATAAAGAGCTCAAAGAAATCACCAGACAGCATTTATGAAAACTGCACATTTATTATTTGGGAATCAAGAGAGACTACTGAATTTTAGGGAAAGTTTACTAAATGTTGTTAAAGAAGAAAAAGTTATTGCTCACAATCAAAATACTTTACCAGACTTCTGTAATGGACAGAAACTCCAAAGTACAGATGTTTTCTGAAAGAAGTCAAAGTGGATTGCTTTATCTACCTACCTATCTACCTAGGTAGATACCTACCTACCTACCTACCTATAATATTGGACAAAGGGAGTATGGAGAAAATCTAAGTGACAAATAGACTGGCAGGGCACAAAGATGCAATCAAATATAAAGAAACTAAGTACATTCTTTGAGAATTTTTTTTAGTCCCACTAGAGAAACTAAAACCACTTCTTTCTATTAGAGGATTTAACATAAAATCCTTAAGGCTATTCCCCAGCTGTCATGCTATCCATCACACCTTCAATTAACTACTGAACTCTTTCAAATATTTTTGCTAAAATAATGAGCAACACATACTACTGCTGTGTATTTGGGACGACTAAACTGATGGTAGCAATAAACATAATTATCAGGAATAGAACAAATGGAAAAAGTCTGCACAAAAGAGAAGAAAAAGTAATATTTGAACTAATAATAGAAGATCTCAAAGGCCTAAATCATTTGCAAAGGAAAACCATTATTAGTAGAAAGTTCCATTGAAAATGTGAAGATTATTTTTGGAATTAATTCTAATTTCTAAGCTAAAGAAATATTTTGAGTTAGAAATAGAACATCATTTTTCTTAATAGAGAAAATTTAAACAAGGAAAGAAATCAAATAAGCTAATACAAAAACTATAAAATATAATATGCTATTGATTGTTTTAACTGAAATGTGTTAAGGCACTACTACAAATTTTTAGAAAGAAAAAAAGACTCATAAATGGATTTCTTTCTGTTTAGTGTTTGGTTTCTTTCTCCTAAGAGAAAATTTACTTTTGATTCTTAGGAGATTTTTGAAGGTATTAAAGATTAGGGTTTAATATTTGAAATCTGACATGAGATAATTGCTTAAATACAGCTGTCATCATCTTTCATCTGTAAAGAAAATTATTCTTTATGGGTGTGCATTGAATTAATTTGGCATTGCCTCTCTTGACGCTTTTCAAATAAATTAACAGAGTACATTGACCAAGACAATGGCTGATGGCTTCTTCAAACATTTTAAAATTATTTCTGAGTAAACTGTTCATTATGTGAATAGTATAAAGCATTGGGTAAGAGGGCGGGCTCTGAAGGCATGTCATTTTATTTCTAATGTTGACTTCACTGCTTATAACTGCAGAACACTGAGAACATTTCTTAATATCTGTTAAATGTGAGAGTAGCAGTACTTCCTTGTCTATAAATGCAATGAAAACTAAATAGGATAATAAGTTTTAAGTACTGCATAATTCATTCAATGCATATGAGCTATTCTTATATTCTCCCGTAAGGTTTGCATACATGACTCAGGTTTTAACTTATTCTTCAATGTTTATTTGATATCTAGTCATAGCAGTGAATCAGAATGTCTGAGCAAATTCTCACATTTGGAGACAAAGTTGTGTAGAAAAGACACAAGTTTTAGCTATATCTAGATGTAGCATAAAATTCCAACCTGCTGAGCAGATTAATATATTTTCTATACATTCAGTTTTCTTGTGAGTGAGACAAAAATGATTAAGCATTTTAGAGTTTTCAGGTTAAATAAGCTAACAATGAAATGGAGCTAACACAGTTTATAATAAATGGTAAGAACTCAGTAAATGCTAGTCTCCTCTGAATCTATATGGGTAGATAGATAAGTATAAACATGGATAGATGGAAGAAAGAAAGAAAGAAAGAAAGAAAGAAAGAAAGAAAGAAAAGAAGAATGGAAGGAAGGAAGGAAGGAAAGAAGGAAGGAAAGAATGAAAGGAGGGAGGAAGGAAGGCAAAAAGGAAGGAAAGAAGAAAACAAAAAAAGATGATATAGATGATGGAAAGAAATAGGGAGACTGAAGATGAAAAATGGAGACAGATGAGAGAGACAGAGAGGGAGAGCTTCCCCATCTCTACTAGTTACATACAGTTTCTTGAAGGCAGGCTCCAAGTCAAATTTATTTTTGAGGTTCCTGAAGAAACTAACTTTCCTCAAGTATTGAAATGATTTAATAGATATTTATTAAATACATGAACTAATACATTAATCAATCAGTCAATGAAATACTATTTTATCTAATCCTCCAAAATCATGTTTTAAAGTAGAGGTCCGTATTTCTTCTATAATTCATAGATTCATAATAACTTTCCCATATTTATTAAGAAAGATGTGTGGAAACTAGTTGTTTTCCAGGACACATTTGTATTAGCATTCTCACTCTTACACTAGCAATTATTTTATGTAGAATGTTATTTACAATATATACCAAATATATGCTCTTCTAAGAATGGCCTACTTTTTTAAGGTATTATCTTCTAATATCAAAATTGAAAAAACAGATTTTCAGTATAAATTACATCTTTAGGCATAAATAAAACCACTTCCATTTTCTATAGGGGCCTTTGCTCTTTCCCGTCAAATATATTGCTCAGTTGGATGAAAATAAAGAGTTAATGTGAACAGCATATAAACTTTTCTTTGATTAACAAAGTTTCTCATGAAATATGATAATAAATGCAAACTCTTTACTTACTCTATGCAGCTTTGCAAAAAGTAGCCAATGTATTATCCATCAATCACTTTATTACACACAAAGATGAGTCTATGTTAGGTTCTGTATTCACATATCAAGATGCAACAACCCACTACTTAAAATTTGTCTAAAAAATTCACATATTATAATATGACATAGTTAAAACCCATCAAGATCATTTAAGTCACTTTAAGTAAACATTCAAATTTGTAGGAACTATGAATATTCTATAAATATTCAATTCAATATTCAATTGTAATTCAATTGAATCACAATTCAATTACTATAAAACACAATATTGCATTGTTGGACAAAAAGTTGCTATGGTGTATATGGCAGTTATGACTTATCAAAAAAGGCTTTTTTGGAGGCCAATCTTAAAATAAATTCAGGATGTTGTATTCAGTGCAGAAATATAAATTATATTTTATTGAACATATGTATTTATTTCTGTATTGCATATATATTATTATGAACCTATGTATTTATTTCTGTATTGAATTCACATATGTGTGAATGTGTTTTTATTAAAATGAATTTTAATTTTAGATTAGAGAAATTAATAATATCTATTGACACATATGTAATATGTCAGGCTTCACTACAGGCAAAAGGTTACTTTCTATGAATTGACAATCAATAAGTGAATTAGAAGAATAAATGACTATGTTCACAAAGTTTAAATGTAGTTTCTCCCTAAAAAACTGAAATAATATTAGATATATTTAAATACTATTATACTTTGAAAACTAGTATTAACTAATGTAATACGTACTTGCAATTCTGAAACCCGATTTATACAAGAGTGTTTTTCATTTTTTATAATTAGACATAAAAACCTATTCACAGTGCCTAAGTCTTATATGTCAGAGTAGCTTAATTCTCTGGGTGAATCATTAGCAAATATTTCATTGTGCTTGAAACAATAAAAGCATCAAAACTAATAAAAAGGCATATCAAATGGATAAATTGAAGGTAGACTTTTAGAAAACATTTGTATTATTAGGAAGTATTTCTTTTTTATCTCTATCAGGGTAAACAAGTACATATTTATTTGACACCCATGCACATTTAGATGTAAATCAAAAAAGGAGCCAAAATTCTGGCTTGCTGTCATTTAACTCTTGAAAAACTACTTTGAGGCTAAAATGCACATTAAAAATAAACAAACTCTGCTAAAAGCTATAAAATTCCAACCAGGTTTTCATTTTACCTAAACGTGGTGAATTTACTAAATTTGATCTTGTAAGTTAGTATATTAGAATGTGCATATCTAGCCAACATATGCCCTGCTTTCCTTGCTAATGAAACACAAAATGGGACAGGTTGGGGAATGTCTGTAAAGCTACGAACAATCTGGTGACTTTGGTCAAGTTGTCATTTTAAGATGGTTACAGACTAATATCCATGGCCTTCCTTTTTCTGTTGTTCCTGAGGTGTTGAATAGTTGCTTTCTGTCTGGGACAAGCTCGGGATCTGCTGTTTCTTTGATATATTATCAATGGTCCGTTCCACCGTGATAAACTGCGACTCTAGTACTAATAGGTTTATAATGATTGCTTAAGCTTTACACGTCGTAAGCATTGGAAGGCTTCACTCACCTTGTTCAAGTGGTTGGCTTTTAGTTGAAGTAGTTTTCATCTTGAGTGCCTCCCTAACAGACATGTCACAGCAGGAGCCTTTGTTAGTGTCTTGGTCACTGTCAGCCTGATCACTGTCCCCGTGCCCACTGTCTCTCAGGCTGGCTCTTTCTGGGTCCTTAAACGTGGAGCTACTGAAATACATATAAAGAAAAAGAAGAGAAAGTGTTGTCTCTACGAGTTTGAATCTGAAGTGTAGTCTCTTGCAAAGCAATTTTGACACGAATGCAAATGGGGAAGCCGAGAAAGTTATTTAATAGGCCTTACCTTTGAACAAACTGCTGCCTGCTGCCCATGTAATTGGGCTCTGCGGGAAAATTGTCTGTCTGCGAAAGAGAAGGAAAAAAATACGTATAGTTGTACACTGGACAAATCTCCTGCAGAGCAACAAGATTTCCTAGTGGAAAAATGATTAATAATTCAAAAATTCCCTTAATCTTCAGATTTGTAAATTTTAATTTAATTGGAAATTGCTGACATGTAATTATGTACTCAGAACAATTAAATGATTCCGGTCCACAAATTACCTGTTAAAGTAAACAATGAGCCTGTCATAACTGGCATTCTCTGTTCCTACCAGGATGGATAACACTGTCTGCGTTGTTTCATTACCTAGATATTAAGATTGAACATTTGTGGGAGGAGTGAAAAAAATGACCTAATTTCTCCATATTAAAAGTGTGAATTATTTAATAATACTCATTTTTAAACATAATTGCATCATCTGCTGGGATTCTACGCCCTCCATGTAGCATCACTTAAAGTCATCCACTCCTCAATTAAGAGATGCAGGGCCTTTCCTTCAAATTTTGCCAATAACAATTACAAGCATGGAACATATGGTTGAACTCCTCTCTATAATTCATTCTCATCTACATTCCTATTATGGCATTGAACTCAAACGATACAGTGGAAAGGGGTATTACCGCTGGTTATCGAAAACAAAGTGAAATAAAAATAAGAAATAAAATGTCACTTAAAATATTGAGAGTAAAGACGTTGAGAAACCAGGCTTGTTTTTGTGGTTGTTTTTACTGCTTCCAAACTGATGTGGAGGTCTGCCAAAAAGAACTGAATTCTCCTTGTATCATGGAACAGAGTCTTTTGGGAGAAAGAGACTAGATCTTTCATAGATCTCCCTATACTGTACATTCATACACATCACTTCTTCTTGCAGCTGACTCAGAGACAAAGGTTCTCCTGTTTTCAGCATCACTTCATATCACACCATTGTGCCCTGAAGCAGCTATGGATTCATACAAGATCATCCAGCATGTAAGTATCAGTGACACAGGAGCATGCGATTCATGAAGAAGAGGGCCCAAGGTAAGGCTTAACGTAGTGCAATATGTGTTTCCGTATAAATAAAGCTAAATTAAACTAACAGTACTCTTTTTTCTTCCCATGAAATAATTTTAATTATGTGGCTTTTGGGAACTATTTATTATTGGGGGGAAAATGACATGTTAAGAGTAATAGCTTAAAATACTAAGTTTCACTGTCTGCTAAAAGCTTGGGGACAAGAAATAGCCTCATAAATTTCTGAATCTATAATCTTTTGTCGGTGCTCAAATGACCTTTATCAAAATGCAAAGATGAAGGTAAACAAGGTCAATGCATTTCTCACTTCTAATCTGCTTTAACTAGCATTTGGTAGCAGACACTTTTCATTAACATGTTTTATTAGTGTTTAGGTTCTGTGAAGCACATTAATTTTTGTTTCCATAATGGCAAACTATCAGTTTTTAAGGGTGACAATCTTCTAGTAAAAATAATAGCGGAAAACAACACTGGGGCAAAAATGTTTGCAACAGAATTTTGCTAAATTTTAAAACTATAATTATTTAGAAACTCCACATTTTAGCTTAATAAAATCAAGATCCTCTTTTGAATTAGTCAAAAACATGTATGCAACCTATTATTGTTGTCGGTTACAGACTAGGCCATGAGTATCTTAGAACACTTCAGAAAAACAGAATCCTGAGTATTACAGAGAGAATAAAATATAAATCAAAGTAGAAACTCTAGTTAGAAAACATAAGTGCTATTATAAGTAACTTTGTGATTGTAATGGCTTTAGTTAGGTGAAGCATCACAGGATAGGATCCCTATTCAGTTAAACACAGGGAAACAGATAAGGAAACTTTCCTTCCCCTGTTCTACTAGGGAGAGTATCTAAAAATGTTTGCCTATTGTTAAAGTTCTAAACAGCTCTAATAAATTAAAAGACTTGAACTAAGAAATAGAATACGTTTTCCCATCGAATGAAGAGCTATTTTTAAATTATGTGTGTGTGCATGTGCACATGTGCATATGTATGTTTGTACGATGTCTGTTTGCATGGATGCATCAGGGTGTTTGATGACCACTGAGCGATGGTGTTGCTACCAAATGTTATTTTGATGAAAATTGAAAAAACGAGAGGAAGTCATAAGAGAAGGGATTTTAGAAGGGGAAGAAAGAGGAGAAAAATATAATTTCAGAGAAAGGCAAGAGAAAAGTAGAGAGGAGAAAGAGAGAAACAAAAAGATACGTATACGCAGAAGGAGGAATGACGAGAGAGGTAAAAAGGAATGTAAAAAAGAAAGAAAAAGAAAGAAAGAAAGAAAGAAAGAAAGAAAGAAAGAAAGAAAGAAAGATTGGTTTATCGTTATAGAATTTCACAAAATACAGTTGTTAAAAATCTGCAGCTTAATCAGTAGCAGAGTATCAGAAGTTTACTAATAGTGCCTGCATTTATCCATTAAATACGTAGAAGCCTGAAAGATTGTGTGTGTGTTTATGATTACCATAATGAAATAGCCATTTGGCCTTTAACAAACATATAACTAACTCACTATAAAAACCACACTGTTTTTAATATAGAAAATAACATTTTCATTATCCAGGCTCCAAGGGTGTCAGAAAACTCATTTAAAATAATCTGAATATAAAATAACTGTATTTGCATAGGAAAATGAAAATAGACCCAAAACAAAAGCCATATGTACCACAGCATCATTTAATTTAGAAATGGAAGGGTTTTAAGATATTTCCCGATAATGTACTCTAAAAAATTCGTTTTACCTTGCATATCTATAAATCTTAACTTTTAAGTCTAAGAAGAAGGTAAAACTTGAGGTCAGACACTTGTAGTTTTTTAGGACTCATCAGAGTTATTAAACATGAATATTTATATCTTTGAAAATTTTATCCTCTTCCATACAAACTAATCATATACACTAATGTTTTCCCTTCAAATTCAACTGGAACACAGTGACTTTTAACTATTACTTTTAAACATATAATTTGTTTATTATTTTGTAAAAGTACTCAGAATTGGTGGGTAGTTACAGAAAACTTCCAAGATAGACACGTTAAAAACTTTAGAATGTGATCATCTTTTTAATCTAGTTCAGTCTGGAATAAAAGACAGAAGTTTGGCCATTTTTTACTGATTATTTACTCGTAAGAACACAGATCTGAACTATCTTATAAACTGAGTCCATTCTCCTAGTTTCATTTTTTTGTTCATTTCTTGTTTTTTTGTTTGATGAACATGAAAACTTAGTATTCATTACTTTCCTTTGTACTGAAAACACAAATAAACAAGTAATCAATTAAACTAACATACAAAGTGGATAAGTCTGCATGATATGAAGAGTTTCTTTGATTACTTGCCTTCATGCATTTCTCCAGGAGTACTCAGCAAATTGTAGTCAATTTATAAATGACATTCAAAATCAGAATTTTTATCAGGAGTACTCAATAATAAGCTATTTCTCAGGTATATCCGAAGATATATTTACATACTCTACGATTTGCTTCTTCTGTTATAACTCTAGAAAACAAATCATGATTTAAAAAAGCATCTATGAGAAAGACCAAAAGAAGGCACCTACTGAAACTAAACCACGTTGGCTCAAATTGGGTAACTTCTTTATTTGTTGAAGTAGATTAATTTGATATGACCACTTACATATGCCTAAAGAAGTTCAATTGAAAGTGGATAGTAAAAGGAGTCAAATAGATTATTTTTTACTAGTAAATAGTAAAAATAGCAATTCTTAAAATGTATCAAGCATTTGACACAAGTCAACATCTATGAATGATAAAAATTCTCAGCAAAGGCAGAAAGAGAGGGAAACTTCTTCAACTGTATAAAGAGCATCTACCAAAAAACAAACAAACAAAAAACATGTATAACTAATATTATATTTACCAGTGAAAGACTGAAAGTTTTCACCCTTGCTTTCACCACTTTTATTCACCATTGTGCTAAAAGACCCATTAAGTTCAACAAGGCAAGAAAAATAAATAAAAGATAAATTAAAAAGGAAGGGGAAATTTCTCAGTTACTATACTCGCAGATAATATTACTGTTTAGGCAGGAAATAAAAAGGAATTAAAAAAAAACAAATTGGAAACAAAACTTCTTAGAACCAATAAATAAGGTTGCCGTATTCAAGGTCATCACACAAAAATCAATTATATTTCAATATTCTAGCAACGAACTATTGAAAACCGAACTTTCAAAAGCAATCCATTTATCATAGTTGCCTACCAATCAAATGCTTAGAAAAAAATATTTTCAATAACAAGTACAGAATCTGTGCCCTGAAAATTACAAAAGTTGATGAAATAAATCAAAGAAGATCTAAATAAATGAAGAAATATATTGCATTTATGGAGTGGAAGACTCAGCAAGGTAAAGCTGTCAATGTTCCTCAAATAATCTATACATGTAATATAACAACATTCAGATTTACAGCATGATTCACTGTAAATACAGACAAGGATTCTAAAATTCATAATGGAAAGCAAAGTGACTATAATAGCCAAAAAATTTTTGAAAAAGAAGAATAAAGTTGAGGGAATCACACTATTTTAAGAGTTATTATGAAGCTGCACTAATCAAGACAGTGTAGTACTGTAGACAAAAAAGACACATAGATCAATAGAACAGAGAAGACTGTCCATAAGTTGCCCACAGAAATACGGCCAATTGATTTTTGACACAGTTTCAAAAGGCAATTTGATAGATAATTCAATAAAAATGAACCTTAAACTACACCTCTCTCCATCTCTTTCTGTGTGTGTGTGTGTGTGTGTGTGTGTGTGTGTGTGTTTTATACATATGTATGGATGTATACATATATATAATGTATGTATGTATCAAATATATGTATCAAAATGGACCACACCTCTAAATATAAATGTAAACCTGTACATTTAAGAAAACCTAGCAGAAAACCTTTGTGATTGGCAATATGCAGAGTTCTTAGACATGATACCAAAAGCATAATCCATAGCCAAAAAAAAAAAAATAAAATAAAAAAAAAAATAAAAAACATCCAGACTGATGCAGACATTTGGGATTTACTTTAAAGCAATGTAAACTATGTTCACACAAAGATTTGAAAGATTTGTACATAAATATTTACAGAAGCCCTCTTTGTCAAAACTGGAATCAGCCCATATATCTTTCAATAGGTGAATAGATAAACAGACTGTGGTACATGCATACATTGGACAACTATTTAGCAATAAAAAAAAAAAAAAAAAAAAAAAAAAAAAAAACTAGTGACGCAACAACTTAGATGCACCTCGAAAGCATTTTGGTGATTGAAGGAAGCCACTCACAGAAAATTTCACACTGTATAATTCCATTTATAAAACTTTTCAAAAAACCAAAAACTATGATGACATAGAACAGATCAGTGGATGGCAAGTTTTAAAACTGCCTAAAGGAGATACAGCATGAAGATTTTCAACTCCTGAACTGTTTACTATCCTGATTGTGGTGGTGGTTTCATGAAGCTTTTATATGTACATGATTAAAAATACATGGAACTCTACACTCAAAACAAGTTCATTACTATATGCTCAAAAAGGTAATTCGAAAATTAAATCTAAGGCGCTATTTGCCTGTCATATATGCTGAAGATCCTTCTGCCTCACAGAGAATTATAAATCTATAAGCTCTTTTATTAAGTTTCTTCAATAAGGAGTGTTTCTGAACTTTTAAAAAATTATACAAACCCAACTTATAAAACCTATGTAGAAATTCTGTATTCATTTGGACAGACTACAAATGGATTCAGGATATAGAGATCTATTCAGCCACACTAGCAAACCCAAGCAACAGCTCTATAAGACAGTCACCTTAATATGAATTATTTAGCTAAATTTTCATTTCTTTCAAAGATGTTTTCCTTGTGTGCAGTTCCTGTTTACCCAACCATAACATAAATACTTCAAATGAAGTTTGCAGACAGAATTTATTGCAAAGGGATGGCTTTTCTTTCTGTAAAAATAAGTCCCACACCCATCCTGGAGCTTGAACTCATGACCTTGAGGTCAAGAGTTGCATGCTTTACCGAATAAGCCAGATAGACTCCCCAACAAAGGAATGGCTTTTTATTTCAATGCAGGAAACAAACATGGCTAGATTGTGAAGAACGGGGATCCATCCTCAGAAACGGTGAGTTGTTTTTTTTTTTTTTTTTTTAAAGAAAATACCTTGTATATTGATTCTACATTTGAGAGTGAACAGAATATATTTGTAAAGAGTGTAAACACATTGAATATGAAATGATTAGCATCTAAGATATACCAAAGTGTATTAAAATACCTTCAAAATAATTTTACAACTTTGGTGGTAAAATTAGGATATACTATTTAAAAGATGTTGTTTTATACTTTATATGACACAATATATGAAAATTTCTTAGTTATCTAATACAATTCCATTATAACTTTTACATTTTTTAAGTCCTGCATGCAGCACTGTAATAATCATGAAATAATGATAACTGGAGGAAAGTCTGAGCAATTTTAAAACAATATGTGGATTTCTAGGAAATGAGACAATTATGGATAAGAAAATTAAAGACATCATCATTTTGAATCCCATTTCTAATTAATTTCTAAGAAAGAAAACATCAGAAAACTATTTTCAAAGGTATCCCTGCAAAAGGAAGAGAAAAAAAATAATTCAATCATTAAGAAAGTGGATTGTATGGTTTAGTCTTTCTCATCACAGATGCTATTTCAGTAAATTCTGGAATTCAATCTGTGATTAATCCAATCACTATGTGATAAATATGTCCACAACACTTTGGTGCTAATTTGCCAGTGTTCTCTTATATTTCCCATTACAGACTCATGGGGCAGTCAGGAAGTTTCCTATGGCGAGAACAGTTTTTGACAAAACAAACAGCTCTCGCATTTCCAGAATCATTGGTGTGGAAATGTAGGAGGCAGTGCTTTATAAACTGCTGGCATCCTTGCTATCCTTTTACCTTTCTATGTCTGTTTCTTTACCAGAAAGGAGACCTTTGAGACAGAGGCTCCGTGGGTAAATTCATTCCACAAACATACGTTTAGCTCAGACCTGAGGCAATATAAAAATTCCAGCATTCAACAATATAAAATTCACAATAGCTGAGACCCAATCAAGAATTATAAGGTCTGCAACAAGTTAAGAAAATATAACCCATGGCTGGGAGAAAAATCAATCGATGAAAACAGATCCTGGCATGAAAGAGATGATGGAATTAACCAACAAGAATCTTAAATATTAGAATATTAAAAATATGGTCAAGAACGTAAAAGCCTGGCTTTGAGAGCAAGTGCCTTCTTAAAATTTGAGCCCTAAGTACCTCCCTTGTATCATTTTCATCTTGGGCCCGAAGGAGAGAAGTAGATGATATAGAAAAGACCCAAATGGAACTTATAAAAATGAAAACTACAACATTTGAAATTAAAAATACACTGAATAGGACCGACAGCAGATTAGACACTGAGAAGGAAAAGACGCAGCATTTTGTACCAGGTTCTAAAAGCGTATTTGCCTCAGTGTCTTGATAAACTTGTAATATATTTATGTCTAATACAAGAAGACTCTCCCAAAGGTTGCGATACAAATATGAAGAAAGGTTTCATTCTAGAGGTATTTATTTAGCATAGGAATTATTAAAGAGAAATGAAAGTATGTCTTTGACATACTTCGACTCTTTAAAGTCATTATTATGAGAAAACTGGCTTCTCACACACGAATTTGGGATTGGATGTGTAGTTATGGTGTTAAATCATATCATTACAGCTTCAGCTATACTAAGATGATCAGTGTTTTCCTCATCCAGGGGCACAGGGGAGTGGAATTTTGAAAATTCTTTTGAATTACGGACATAAGGTTGACTGCACATATTGATGCCATTGGGGTGAAAACAAAGCCAAACAAGTTGAACTTTTCCCTTAATTCAAAGGCACTGCTTTTCACATTGATAGTAAGCATTCTCTTTGCAGCAGACTGAACACAAGGGAGTGTTAAGAGGTGAATAATTCACTTTAAGCCTTTTCATACCGACATCGCTTCTGATAGCTTTGCCTTCAACAGAATATATGGTGTGGTTCTTTCTACATTGCTGAAGTAGGCAACAGCACTTTAAGCCACCACTTATAAAGTTCTCTGACAGCACCTATGGCTCTGGAATTTTCAAAGTGCATGAGGTATGGCAATAACTGTATTTATCAATGATTTTCAAAATAATACATTTTATACAAGTATAGTGTGGTCGACATTTGTGTTTTGCTACTAAAGGCATAATAAAAACATGAGAAATTCTTACCACATTTAGCAAAGCTAGCATTACTTTAAATTAGAAATGAGAGAGCAAGAACAGCCACATCCTGTAAGCAAGCATTTTAAGTCTACAGCTCAATTAGGATGACTTAGATGATTTTGTTCTGAAAGTAATGAGTCTGTATATTAAAACCTTTTGCAAATGTTAACTCTTTCATAAACAACACTGATAATTTTATTTTATTTTTTTATTTGTTTTTTTTTTCAACGTTTATTTATTTTTGGGACAGAGAGAGACAGAGCATGAACGGGGGAGGGGCAGAGAGAGAGGGAGACACAGAATCGGAAACAGGCTCCAGGCTCTGAGCCATCAGCCCAGAGCCTGACGCGGGGCTCGAACCCACGGACCGCGAGATCGTGACCTGGCTGAAGTCGGACGCTTAACCGACTGCGCCACCCAGGCGCCCCAACACTGATAATTTTAATAATAACTTGTATGCTGGAGTTTAATCATTTAATTTATGAATCGTAAAGAAAATCAGCTTTGAGAAGAAAGAAGAATGTTGAAATAATCAAAAGGTAAGAGGAGTGCTGTTTGTTATCTAGAAAAGCACACAAAGTAGAGAATGCTGTGCATTCTTTTTTATTTTTGCTGAAGTTTGGAGTCCATAGGCCCCCAAGGTGCCCCTGAATGCTGGATGTGCTTTCTCTCTGGCAATGGCATAGAGTTATGCCATAAGTTGGTGGTAGTGGGGGGGGGAGAGTTGGGAGTTCTATTCTTTTCTGTTTGGTTGTTTGTTTGCTTGTTTGGTTGGTTGGTTGGTCGGTTGGTTGGTTTTGGCTATCTCTCAGCCAGATATATTGTCTTAGAAGATTCTTCTCTGCTTTCCCCCTATAGTGCTCTTTTTCTCTATCAAGAATATGGAAGATTTATCCCACCAGAGGGAATACCTACAACTGGATTCTCTGAAATCAGGCCTCCAAACTAAGAACCCAAAGGTAAATGTAGCCAGTGAAAATTCATTAGAAGTCTGAACTTCTAGAGCTCCGACATATGAAGAGAAAGAGAGAAAAGGGAGGGAGACAAATTGGTGACTCACCATTTTATTTATTGTCACTGTGAATGCAAGATACAGTTCTTCAACTCTTATTTCATTAATGTTAAAAACTTGCTAATAAGTGAAAGAAAATTTTGATAAATTAATTTATTTTTGGATTCAAGCCAGTTTTCAGTCTAATTTATTTAGCTAATATGGACATGTTTTGAAACTATACTGTACTGAATCTAAATTTATGGAAACAGAGTCATTGTGTACTTTCTATGTTAGGAGGCTTGGAGTATGCTGTTCCATTTTAGTATCCACACAACAGTATTATTGATATTTATTACTCATTCTCCTCAATTGCCCTAGGACACATAGTAATGTTACTGTCTACATTTTTTTTTAACAGAGAAATGACATTTAAGAGAAATGACAGCTGACTAACTTTCACAAAGTTACCCTTCATATACCCAATTCACTGCAGAACAACGTACTTGCCGGGAACCACCAGGACCAGTCAGTATCTGTGCTACCTCTCTGGCAAATAGAGAAAAATCAGGATCCGTCCCAACATTTTCAGAACTAAGTTAATGAGAAATGAATGTAACTTGCCTTGAAATGCTTTTAAAAATTACGTTACACACCAAGCAAAAATAGTACTGCCATCCCCCGTACTAATAAGACAACTCACTGAAAGAGTATGCGCTTTTACCTTTCCATGCTTGCACATTAAATTATTTGAATATGCTGAGCATTGCATATAACTCCAATAACTAGATTTTCTTCCTTTGGCCAATAACATAAAAAGGTAATAATGGCCGTGTATTATCAAACAGTCTAATGCAAGCAGTGGGCTTAACTGTATGATTACTTACCATCATGACAGTCATATAAATTGTCAAAATAGGCACTTCTGAACACTTACCTTTTAAAGTGCAAAAGAAATTCAAAGTATTACATTTAGCCAATCATTACAGAAAATTCCCCAAAAATAACTAATTTAAAAGATATAAATAATGTAAGTAACTAATTTAAAAACCAAACTGTCTGTCACATATCATCAGTTTGTTTTTTTTCCAAAATACACTAAAATTTAAAACATTACAGATACAATGATTTTGGTACACACAGTTCACCAGTCTTCCTCCTCCAAATAACATTGTTGATCAGAAGATAAAGTCTATTATTATTTAAATAATCGGTTAAATTTTGCAAATGAAAGAAAAAAAAAATATCAGCAAGATCAGGTTCCTGTCTGATTTTGCATCTGCCTTTCAACTCATCACCTGTATAGGTACATTCCAGTTCCTAATAGTAAAAATAAATAGAAGGAATTCAAGGTGGAATTGAAGGATGAAATACCTTTCTTACTTTTTCCTTCCTCTAAAATTTAAATTTTTTTTTTAATGTTTATTTTTGAGAGAGACAGAGACAGGATGCGAGTGGATTAGGGGTAGAGAGAGAGAGGGAGACACAGAATCCGAAGCAGGCTCCAGGCTCTGTGCTGTCAGCACAGAGCCCAACGCGGGGCTCAAACTCATGAACTGTGAGATCATGCCCTGAGCCGAAGTCGGACGCTCAACTGACTGAGCCACCCAGGTGGCCCTCCTCTAGCACATAAATAAAGAATTTTTAACTCTTTATAAAAGGAAGTTGTTTTTCTTTTTTTCAAAATTATTTATTTACTTTTGAGAGAGAGAGAGAGCGTGCACAAGCAGAGGGGCAAAAAGAGAGACAGAACATGAGCAGGGGAGGGGCAGAGAGAGAGGGAGACACAGAATCCAAAACAGGCTCCAGGACCTGAACTGTCAGCACAGAGCCCAACGCAGGGCTCTAATTCACAAACTGTGAGATCATGACCTGAGCCAAAGTCTGATACAATCAACTGAGCCACCCAGGTACCCTGAGAATTTTTAACTTTATAAGCAACAATTCATGCAAACAGCCAACCAATCAATTTATTTTACAATAATTAGTAAATAATTTATTTATTTTAAATAATTACTTTGGGGGAATTTTGTGGTCCTGGTCTTTTGCATGGGTTTCAAAGATAAGTTACTAACCCCTTCCAAAACAACAAAAAATATATACAAATTTAAATTTTCAGGGGCACCTGGGTGTCTCAGTTAAGTGTCTGACTCTTGATTTCGACTCAGGTCATGATCTCACGATTTGGGAGACTGAGACCTGTGTCTACAGGAGCCTGCTTGGGATTCTCTCAGTCTCTCTCTCTCTCTCTCTCTCCTTCTCTCTCTCAAAATAAATAAATAAACTTTAAATTTTCCAGAAAAAATTATCCATTGTATTTGAAAACAAAATGAGTAATGTAAGAATACAATTACAAAAACTTAGGAGATAATATACAGGGAATTTGGAAGATCTGCCCTGAGATATGACTTTAACAAAGTAAAGGCATTCCTAAGTTTGAAGAAGAAATTAATTATTAATCAAATTTATGAGTATTAGATTACTAGAATATTTATCATTTTTCCCTCTGAAATACAGGAATAAGTATCACATTCAAAATGTATGATTCAATGGAAAGAGTCTATTTTAGGTTGGTATTCATACCTGAAATTAAAATAAAGCTAAGTGTCTTTACTAATGCTAACAGATTTTTAATTAAACATTAGCACAAAATGAAATGAAATATCTCTAGTCTTTATCAGACTGACACTTAATACCTAATTCAAGTATCCCCAGCTTTCTTTGCTTGGACACTTCAGTGCTAAGAATTTTTCTCTTCTGGAAAAAGCAGCAGGCTTACCCAGACAATCATTTCATGAGATAATAGGCCTGCATTCTTCCATATCTAGTTTGAAACAACAGACAAATATCTTGATCTTGTTAGAGGTTATTTGTAATTTACATGGTACAGGTTTTTTGGTGTTTTTTTGTTTTTTTTTTATAAATACACAAACGGAAAGAAATTAAGAAATGTTAACAGTTAATCATACCTTACAAAAATGGTGTAAGGCCCACTCTCTGTTTTTGAAAATCAAGTTTTATTGGAACTCGGCCATGCCCTTTCATTTACATGTTGTCGATGGCTGTTTTCATGCTTCAATGGCAGAGATGAATAGTTTTGATGGAAACTATATGGCCCACAAACCCTAAATATTTACTATCTGATCCTTAATAGGAAAAGTTGCAGGCTCTTGGCTTAGAAAAACTAAGTCTCAGTTCTTAACGTTATAATTAAAATTTTTAGTCTACTCACTCCTGTAGATAAAATACTAATGAGGCATTTTCACATATACACTACGTTTAATTAGGTCATAGTTTAAAAAAACAAGAAAACACACAAGTTACTTTCATCTTCTGTGGGACACAGACTTCTCTCCCAGAGTATGCATTTGGAAGCTGCCTGATTGAAAAATTGTTCATATTTTTTAAGTGGATTTCAGTGTTAGGTGATTTGTAGCATGTTTATATTCAATTCCAAACTACTTAAAACTGTGCAAACAGTACCATCATGGGAACACCTGAAAACAAAATGTACTTAGGCACATTAAGTTTCCTGAAGTGTATTACAAGTTCCTCTAGAGTGTACTTAGAATAAGAGTAAGTAACCTGTTCTTTCCCAGAGAAAAGAACTCTTCCGTTCTTGGTCCTTTGTCTCCTGTGCTTCCTTACATATTTTACAGGGTGATTTTGTCAGTGTTTCTCAACCTCTCCAAATCTAAACTTCCTTTCAACTTCACCAAGTGGAACCATTATAATTATTTCTATTTTATGGGTGGAGAAACTGAGGCCTATGGAATTCATGAAAGGCTAGCTGGAGGTCCCTTTATGAGTAAGTAATAGGAATAAATTTCTTTTGACTCAAAATCTCACACTCTTTCAAATAAAATCCTGCAAGTCCTGTATGACCCATCTCCCTTTTGTGAGTATTGTGCTTTGCTTTCTAGACTATTTATCACTGTCTGATGTATTTTACAGATTTATTACTTTCATTCTAATAATGCTTGTTAATCAATGCTCCCTACAGAGTTCTGATACCAGGTCACACACCACCCCCCTGAATGGCTTTGTTCCTGCAATTGTTCAGCTCTGAATCATAATAAACACAGAGGAAAGCAATGAGGTCTACTGGATAGCTTTGGTTCAAATACAAGAATCAAAGCCAGTTCTATGATCAAATCTGAGAATCTGAGAATCTGCTTCCGGAGTCTCCAAAATCTGGAAATATTTTCACTCTATAGGACCAACTTACAGAACTTCTTGAAACTACTTGCTGGCTATCAATTTGAAAGATCTTGTGGCAATGTGTCGTACGTACACAGGTCCCAGCAGAGATGTGAAGCTTAATAAGTGAAGGCCTTAAAGAATTCTTTTCCAAATTGACCTGCCTTCTAGGAACTAAGTTTCACTACTCAAAGTAGCAATTATTCATGCTGTAGGATGTTTTCATACTCCATCAATACCTCCATAGGAATGCAGGCCAAACATGATATCCCAACTGGTATAGAAACAAAAGCCCTAAACTCTGAGTCACATGACATTAATTTTCTATTTCTAGCTAGCTGTATATATGTGAGTAATATTTCTCTGCTTCAATTTTCTCACATGAAAAGAAGTGTAAATGAAATCAGATGTTATCATATGTCTCTAACTCTCTGGTATTCATTGCTCTACAACAGTTCTTTTGTGGAAACTTCTCTTCAGTTTCTACCTGGGGTGAGCTTTACTTACCACTTACCACAAGTTCTTTCTGCATAAAAAGCACTGTTCTGAAGGAAGACTTAACATCTTTCCACTTCAGAGTTCACTTTGGTGGTTTAAGAAGTTTAAAATATCTGCAAATTATTTTTTTTTGCAAGACAGTCTATCAAAAATTGATCACTTTTTTAAATGTCTATTTAGCATTTAAAACAAGGGTGCCTCGGTGGCTCAGTCAGTTAGGTGTCTGACTCTTGATTTCAGCTCAGATCATGATCTCACAGTTGGTGAGTT